ATTCACCCGGCTAAGAAAAACAGCCCACACTGGGTAGAGCTGTTTCTAAAGAAACAAACCTTTCACCTAAGTCCATCAACAACAGATCTGGATGGAGGAATCTTCCTTACGTTACAGAGAAATAAAGGGGATTTTTTAATTGATCTTTGCAGGTTAAGAGAAAATCGAATCAGAGTTGGACTGTTTGCACAATAATTCTACAATGAAATGTTTTTCAATCTCTGTATGTTGGTGTATATTTTGTGAAATGAGTTGCTTAATAGGCTAAATTAAATCATACAAATGTGAGGGTAAAAACAGCTTTAAGTTAAGCTGAGGCTAAATCAAATATATGTCCTACCTTAAACTTTCTCAACATTATGTCCAGGACTTAACTTTTTTTTTAAAGGCGTAAATTAGTTTCTGTGAAGTTTTAATGAAAGAAAAAATAGGATTATAGCCTGTCATATATTCTGGGATTCTTTTTTTGTTACAATAAATAGAGGCCCACTGGGACTAGTTTCAGACAGCAGGTGCACGCGGACGTACCCCTCTTGTTTTTCGTGCCATGCTTCTTGGCTATGGAGATTTCTTGCTCAATCCTTTTCTCCAGGTAGTCCTGCTTCTTGGTCAGCATTTCCTCGGTCTCCCGGAGCTTGTGGATGGCCTCCTGGGCGGACGGCCCTGCCCTCGACCGGTGGTGCCTGGACTTAGACGAACCGGACGAACCGGAGCTGGAGCTGGAACTTCCCTTGAAAAGTTTCGAGATTTTACTCATTTTGACGCGTTCTTTAATAGCCTGTGCAAGTATCTAAAACACACAAAAATAAAAACTCTGTCCGGTCCGGCCACAGGCTTTTTCACTGGCGGGTGTCTTGTCGATTTTCCAGATCGACAACTTCGTACGTTTAGTTTCAAACCAGCCAGTAAGGACACCTTTCACCACACCTTCCTGCCTTACCTGTGGCGTATGGATACATGACCCAGCTGGACCTATTTTCTCTGAGTTGAACCTGAGTACTACATCTTGACTCGACTTTTCATCTGTCAATTATGTTTTGAAATCCACCAAAAACTAGGAGTAAATTCGCAGTAGCGAGAAAAAGTTATATTTTAAAATATGATATATTAAAATATTACAATTTTAATATCTACGATTTAATAAATACTATTTTCATAATATTTAAGACATATATCAAATATGAGTTAGGTATTTATACAAACAAAAGCTATTTTCCAATAAATCTTAAAAGTTTTTTAAAGCTTTGTCACGTGACTTTTTCTCGGGGTCAGAGTTCATGTTGTTGTGATCGGTACACCCTCGCAGCTAGCTAATGGCTGAGTTAGACATTGGGAAGCATTGTGAAGTAGATTCCTGCAGTGTGAAAGGTTTGTGGTGGTTTGGTTTCATTTGAGCTGTAAGGAATAAAGCTATTTTTGTCTGTTATATCTAATTAATGCACACTTAAGATCTTCCTAGCTTTGCTTGCTGATGAGCTAGCATATGTCGGCTACGTTAGCATAAAGGCTAACCGATGATGAGCTGCTCTGTATGACAGGCTGTTAGCATTGCATCTGATTTAGCATTTTATTTAGCAGTTATAATAGGGTGTCCAATGTTATATGCTTTTAAAATGCAGTAAAACTAAGCTACCTAAACTAAAATTCCCGAATTCTAATAAAGTAAAGTAAATAAACGTTTTCAGCATGAGTAAAAGTTTAGGGATTGTTGGTGGACGAGCCCTGTTCTAACAATGTAATAATTGATTTGTTTTCTATGTCTGTTAGATTTTCTTCCTTTTGTTTGTGACGCTTGCAAGGGCGTTTTTTTGGTAAGTTTTAATCTTCCTACCTCTAAATACTCCCCAGAATGGTTGGGAATACTCAGACTAATGTTTAAAAGGCTTTCTTTACAAAATGCATCAGGAAGTACAGGTTAATTACAGATTAATTAAGTAGTATGACTCTTATTATTGGTTTATTGGATTTCTTTTTGATAAACTGATATTTTAAGTCTTAAGTATTCATTTTATATTCACTCAGTCGAGTATAGCTTTTAATCTGTGTAATTTTACACCAGTAAGTAACGTTTGGTATTTCAGTGTAATGACTGTTAGTATCTGTTACTCTTACAGGGAAACAAGGCTATTTGTTGACATTTTTGTCAGATTTTTAATTGCAAAGCAGAAAGTAAACTTCTCTTATAGCTCTGTAACAGCTATGAATTTGATAAGAAAGGTCTGAGTGAGTGTGAGGGTGGTATCTTTTGTATCCATGCAAACAAACATCCCTTGACCACTTTTGTGAACTATGACATACATTTATGCCTTTTCCTGATATTTAATAGTGTAAATGTTGACATTTTAAAGGATTTGTTCAGATCACCAGCTTGACTGATTCTAGAATAAAGCTGTATATGTTGGAAATACCGCCTGTGGGTGCAACCGTTTACTTTTGTTTGCTCGTTTTCACCTCAGATAATCCCACTTGATGACACTCTTGTTTCTTCTTCTTCAGTCTTGAGCACAGAAGCAGAGAGGCCCACTCATGTTCAGAGGTAGAAGAGCTGCCTGCCGTTCTTTGATAGGACTTGGACGTTTAATATTTCAACAAGCCAGGAACCAGATACAGGCTCTGCATAATCACTTCTATTTTTTTTGCTTTTTCCGTCAGGAACCAGTTAAAAGGGAATCCCGGACTGCAGGTGGCAGCACCAGTCATCCGTGTTCATTTGAAGACTGCAAAGGAAAAGAGCTGCTGCCCGTAATATGTCCACAATGTGACAAACACTTCTGTTTGGCGTAAGTGGCCCGAAAAATCTACTTTTTGAGCTGATCTGTGCTCAGTCGGTCTTGAGAAAGAGGGATTTAAATAGAAACAATTCCATCTTTGGGGAAAATAAACAGAAAGTTTGTTTCTTTGTTGCTTTCTTTACAGCCACCGTCATCAAGATGATCACAAATGTGAAAAGTTGGAGGTTCAAAAGCCTCGAATGACGGCCACCAAAGAGTTGGTGCAGAAGATTGTAGGTCAGTGGAGGCCGTATCCACCCCCTCCTGCTAGCTTCATAGGCTTAGTTTGACGCTTTCACTTTTTATTAGCTGTTTGAACAAGGCTTACAGGTTTTGTTTTATACTTTTATGACTCTTTTATAACCGATCAGAGTCAAAGGATGGGTCCAAAAGCAAAGGGCGCAGAGGAGCAAAGAACGCCGCGACTGCAGCAAAGGTGGCGCTGATGAAGCTGAAGCTGCATGCTGCCGGAGACAAGGGGCTGCCCCAGGTAAAGCCCAGCCCCCGGGGCTTTTTGTTTGCCATCCGTAATTGTTTTGAAGAACTTATTTCCCCGTCTTGTTTTGCTTTTCAGACAGAAAGAACCTATTTCCAGGTGTATCTCCCCAAAGAATCGAAAGACTGCAGCAAGCCCATGTTCTTCTGCTCTAAATGGAGTGTGGGTAAAGTGGTGGACTACGCAGCCTCCCTAGCCAGCCTAAAAAACAACAACAATGTCCTGACAGCAAAAGTATGAACATTATAAACAAACTTCTAATCTAACATTATAACATAGTAATTAAAACATTATAACATTGCCACATCGGGCAGCTGTCCTGCTTCCTTTTCTATTGATTAGCTTTTTCCTTCACACTTCACAGCTGTAAACTTTTATTTTTGCTCACCTTTAATGCTGGTTTTTGGTTTACTTTTCCAGCCAGTGCTGCAGAGAGCTCTCATGTATCAGGAAACGTGGTTAACCAGTGCAGTTATCATTTATATTTGAGTTTAAGACGTCAATGAAGACTGAGTTACAAATTATTTTAATAATAATCAAATAAGTTACACTTCATATGTTCATTCACACAGGGAAAAAATGTATTCCTCCATTAAACATACATTCATTGTAACACAATTGAAATAGTTATAAATAGGATGTTTTAGCTTTCCCCAAAACTGGAGTTCATGGGCAGATATTTAGTTTAGATATATTCCAAATCATTGCACAGAACAGTGTACATGTCTTGATATTATTTGTCTCTGTTTTGTTTCCAGAAGCTGCGGCTCTGTCACCCTCAGACCGGTGAAGCTTTCCAGATGGATGACACTCTGCTTTCCCTGCTGGGTCACCCTGAAACCCCCCTCCACAACGGGGGTAATGTCATTCTAGAGTACTTGGACAATGACTGTCCGGGCTTGGAGGATGTTTCGGACTATATTACCCAGGCCTGATCAATCGACCACAGTGACTGTACGGATGGAACTCTGGATCTCTTTGTATTTTTATTGAAAATAAAATGGAAGAACGTGACATTTTACAGAAATGTGTACTGTTTTTTGTTGTTGAAATTTGGATGTAATTGCAGGATTTGAAAGTTGACCTTTATTGCAAATATTGCTCTAAATAGATAATGCATAAAAATGTCAATATAGAACAAATTCTTGACCCAGGTTTGACTAGAACCCACAATTTCCCAGCTAGGCCATTTTACAACACAAAATACACATATCCATATCTCTCAGGCATTTCCAGGGTCATGCAAAGGTTATTTTCCCTCAAACAGCTCAAATTAAAAAAAGAAGACATAATAGCAGCAACAAAGCATTTTAATTATTACTGATTATTACTAACAACATGGTGAAAGAAGTAAATTAGAAGCAAAAATCAGTCAATAAAATGGTCACTAACATATCTACTCCATGTCGATGGTTTGTTTTACATAATAAGATGATGATTGAATCTGTATGCAAAATGTATTTATTGACCATCTAACGCCATGATCATAAAATCTTGAAACTTTGATCCCACTAAACCCTCCTAAATGTGTTCGGCTTAGGTCTCCTGTTTCACAGTACAAAGAGAGAATAAAATAACTGAACCAATCATGTAAGGCAAAGTCTATATTGACAGTTGGAAACAGCCAATCACAAAAGGACATTACAAAGGGGGCGGGGCCTTCTGTCAGTCGTATATAAACCAAAAGGGGCAGTTACACTTCTTCACAGGGTACCGTTGTTTTGATGAGAGAACAACCGCCATTGAAGTTATCCACTAACTGCAGCAACCTAAAGCAGTTCTTATTTTTTTATTTAAGGCGCGGTAGCTAACTGCTGCTTTTTCTGATCGAGTCGCTCAGAAAACGGCGACTTGATCCCGCTAATATCGTTCGCTTTGTGAAATCAGGTCGAAAGGGATGCCGCTGCAGATAGACTCCGACGGACGCCAGCAGTCTTTGGATTTAATCTCTTCGCATTTAATCGGGAAAAGCAGCTTCACTATAAAATTAAAAGGCTTCAGAGTAACCCATTCTCGACCGAGTGCCTCTGGGAGATACTCAAGCTCAAGTTTGTACTAACGGCTCGGCCGTTGGGCGAAACGAGAAGCGAAACGGTTTGAAGGCTAACGGCTATAGCGCGAGCTTATAGCGCGAGCTGGCAGACGACACCAGAGGGACGTTAATCTTCCACCGCCAGTCCGTAGCAGAGGTCACGTCAGAAGACGCCCGTTTGAGGAGGTTTAAAGCCACTTTCGTCGGAGGGGAAACTAAAACATTTAGTCGGTAAGTGAGGCAAGTCGACGCAGCGAACCAGGAAGACGAATTGTGTCAGTTTTGGGTGAGCGGGGTGGGGGAGGGGCGGCTGTTCCCCCGCTAGCTAACCGTGTTTTGGTCTGAGTTTTGTCCGCGTGGGGCGCTGCAAACACCCAGTATTCACCCACTGTTGTTTGTTTGTTTACTGTCCACCGCTTCATTTCGTCTTCACTTGGAAAAAGCAGTCATTTTTAATGCTTTTTTATTCTTAAATGCTGTGTCTCACCATCGTTTTTTTGTTGCAAACGTGACAAAGAAATGAAATAATTCTACTTAAACTTGGACTTGTTGCCCGGATGTTATCAGAAAATGTTTTTATTTATTTAATTTTTTTCCAAGGACGCCATGAAAGCTGTTGGAAAACTCCAGCTTCTAAATTTGGATTAAATTTGGATGCAATGGCAAGATTTGAAAGCTGACCTTAATTGCAAATATTGCTTTAAATCAATTCTGCATAAAACTGTCAATATCCCACAATTTCCCAGCTAGGCCATTTTACCAATAAACACATATCCATATCTGTCAGGCATTTCCAGGGCCATGCAAAGGTTATTTTCCCTCAAATAGCCCCAATTAAAAAATACATAATAGCAACAACAAAGCATTTTAATTATTACTGATCATTACTAATGACATAGAGAAAAGTAAATTGGAAGCTAAATCTGTCAATAAAATGGTCACTAACATGTCGATGAATTCTGTCGCATATTAAGGAGATGATGATAGAATTTGTCTGCAGAATGTATTTTGCAGAAATAAAATAATTCTACTAATAGTTGTACTTGTTGCACGGATGTGACTTAAAGTGATCAGAAAATGTTTTGATTGGTTTATTTGTTTCTAAGGACGCCATGAAGCTGTTGGAAAACTCCAGCTTCGAAGCTCTCAGCTCCCGGCTGTGCGT